CTCTCGTTATTTTGTTTTGCGCGGGGTCTCCCATGCCCTGCCATTCTCCACTGATAGGCCCCGACAGCCCTGATCAAAAGATGTCGCCGGGCCCCAGTCCGCTTGGCAGTCAGTGGCATGTCGTTTGTAAAAAGGGCCAAGCAGGGTGTAAATAAAATGACATGATCACTTCCCCAGCCCCTCATGTTCTGGACACAATTATGATAATGTGGACAAAGGTGAGGAGGTAATTCGCTCATGCTCAGGCAAACACGCAAGGGAGATATCTCACTGCTACCAGTGCTCGAGTGATTGCCCACACCCTCTTTCCTTTCACTTTACTTTTTCTGCCGCTTCTCCTCTGGAGGATATTTGTGTCAGATTCTCATTTGAAAGAGGAAATCCAGCCAGGATGAGGTAGTTAATGTGTTTGTGTCCTGACTAGCTGGTCACAGATGTCAGCTTGCATTTGGCAAGCCTGGCACAATGCTTGACCAAGTTGTCAGGTCACCTTTCTCTTCCTCAGCAAGAAAATATTCCACATATTTCTTCACATCGTCAAGCTAGTTTATCAGACTATTCCTATATCTAAATTCATGGCATTTTATCACATTCTTAGGCCTTCATGGGCCTTCCAACGTGCTTTAACCTGTTAGTAAATGTTTTACATTTCAAACAAATAGAGCTGCGGCCCTGTAGGTTATTGTTCATTTGTCATTAAGCCTAGATAGCACAGAGAGGGGAGGTAGTCCAAAAGGGACCAGCTATAAAACCTACAAAGTCTAGCCATGCTCCCAGGCAATTTAAAATGCAAAACAAAAACCATTATGTCTGAGCACTATCTGTTAATTTAATCCCCAATGACTGATAATCCATCACACAGGACGACAACCACATCCAATTATTCTCCCTGGCTTGACTGACAACAGAGGTGATTTATCAAGCTAATAAAAGGTGATGGGAGTATAGAGGGTCCTTTAGAATAAAAAAAAGAAGAGGATTATGAAAGCAACAATACTCTTGGATGCAGTCTTAACTAATATCTAAGCATATGGTGTAGGATCAACGTATGAGTTTTCTAGTGTGTGTGGGAAAGAGAAATAGAAGGAGTGTGTTCTTGTGATGATAAAGTGAGGTTGCCATGTGGAGGAATGACAAGAATCATTAGGTTCTATGAATGATTCCTTTGGGTGGGGGTGGAGGGGGGCAAGTAGGGTAGGAGGTGCACTTTCACACAATCAACATCTCAGTCACGGCTCACACAGAAATAGCAATAACAAGTTCACACAAACACACAAGCTGCAGAAAACAAGTCTCTCACAGAAACACAAATTTCACCTTTAGACACACAACCTCGAATGCACTCCCATGTAATTATAAATAACACTGTGACACCACCACACACACACAAACACACTTGTACACGCACTTAGATGCAAGCGATGAGGAAAGACAGTGACATCTTGGCATGCAGGAGGCATTACTGTGGAGTATCATTTTCATAAACATAAGGGCAGCAGACGAGGGATAGAAATACTGCAGTGCTGCTCTGACGATCAGGAACAACAGTCAGGGCAGGGACAGGGGGTGATAAAGCAAGAAGGTGCTGTTGCTGCCTCTAAAGCAGAGCCTTTCCGTATCTTTCTCTCTGTCTTCTTCCTGCTGTCCTGTGTGTTATTTCTCTTCACATGCTGCTGAAAGCAAGCGCAGTCTGTTTTTGATTCTGTGTTTTAAATAGGCCTTGCATGCATGAGTGTTAACAGAAAGACAGTCGAAACTCCATAGAAATTTGAATATCCTTTAGTGAATTTGTGAAAATGTAATCAAATACCTCTTCAGTAAGCCACAACTAAATCCTGTCCCTTTTCTTAAATTGGCTCCTTCATGACCAAAATGCATATTCCTGGTCTGGCCTCCACAGCTGGTGAAACATGCCTGGGAGCCAAATCACACCCAGCAGCAATGAGATAAACAGGATGTGTCATTACAAACTCTACCTGAGTCTGACCCTAATACTCAAATAACTGCTCGGTCTCTGAAAGAAAAAAAAAAAAGTACAACCTTGCCACAGGCATCGTGATAGAAGAAAAAAGGTCATCATGAGAACAACATTTCATCTGTGTTTTTAAGCCAAAAAGGTGCCGAATAGCAGCAGATGGTCTGTGTAATATAGCTACAAATTAGCTTCTTTTGTTCAAATTTTGTGCAAAAACACAGTGAGAAGATGTTCAAATTCACATGCACATACTATTGTGTGAGATTATCTGTTCACATGGTGCTTAGGCCCTTCATAAACCCTCTAATGTAAAATGTAAATTCAGTGTGCACATTATACTGATAAAAAAGCTTAATCAACATCCTAAGTTTTTTTTTATCAAGAAAATAAAACAGAAATTAATGCTATTGGGAAAGTAATTCTATATGGGTTTCATAGGTTGATTACCTCATTATTTCTAATGTTATTACTATACACAGAGAGAACTGCACACAAAGACACAACAGGGATCGAGGGAGGGGAGAGGAAGTTCTCTACATCTGTGGTCCCTTATAGCTTTCTGTAAATATTACAGAAAATGTTTTATGGTATTGTTTAAACACAACAACAGAACAACATAAAAATAGAAAGCACAGAGACTGATGTTTAATAGTACTGGCTCAATAAATTCTAAAACTATGCACAATTGTGGATTTGCTCCCATAGACATTAAAGAAGTAATACATGCTAACCTGTAATTGTGGTGTAAACAATGACATATAAATAAAGTTTAATATTATTATCATCCAGGTGATGAGCAGAGGAAATAGGTTACGGTGACTTTTGATCATGTACTGGTTGATATATTCGAGGCCAGTTGGTGATCCAGTAAGAGAGAATAGAAATTGTGTCATAACATGGCGAGAGTTTCTTGACATGTGTACAGATTTTAACTGGACCTTGACGGCCTTAAACCAACATGGCCCCTCAGCAGGGGTCTCTTTCTGCCAGGAAACAGCTCCAGAATACTACAGGACAGGAAGTCACCTCAGTCTCTATCCAAAAAAAAAAACAAAAAACCCACAAACCACTGACTTCCACTCACACTCTCAAGTTTCCCAGCAGCCTAAAATGCTTTAAATAGATTAGAATAATTTAGTGCAAAACAGCCCCATTCTGTCAAAAAAGGAGGAGATCAGTAACATACCTAAAATGCCTTTCTGTTGTACACATTCATCAAAGTAACACACTCAATCAGACTTAGTTCTCCCCGTCCTTTCCCTTTGATCCTTACAGGCTGGTTCAATGTCCCCCAAGAAAATATGTACCAGGTGATCTGTGGTCATTTGAAAAATGAACAACTCCTGACATAAGTATCGGAGGTTGTTGAGGGCTGCTCACATTCTGTTTTTACTTTTA